CTGCATTCTGTTTTGATTTACATTTTGCACAATACCAAGTGGTTTTGGAAAAGGATGGTGATTTACTGTAATAGCTTTTAACCATTGAATCCTATAGACTTTTCTTTTTACTTATTTTGAAGTGCACCATAAATATAAAATATATAAGCTCGTACATTAAAAAAAAAAGTAAGTTGGAGACAAAAAAAGATGATCACACATTTTAACAATATATATACATATGTATAAATACTATGCAGTGTTAGGTTTCCAACCTGACCTGATCTGAGTTTTAATATCTCCCGCATATTAACTGTCAAGCAATTGCTTTGATTTGCCTTATTTTAAATAAAACAAATAATGTTATCAGCTACATATTGATAGCAAAGGGCATTGTTTTAAATATAATCACATATTTCTGATATTTTACACTGACAACCATTAGGACAACCGAGTGGCCAGTAGTTACATAAATATGTTCCCTAACTCATTTTCCGTTCCAGTGGCCGCTTATTTTAGCCTTGATACTATTCTTAACACGCCACCTCTGCAGCCCAGACACTTTCACTGACAGTGAAAACCTGTAAGCCCCTGGTGATCACGCATCAGCAGCCACAAAAGCTCCATCCTCATAAACTCCTCCCGAGAGATTTTCATGTAATATAGCGCCGTCCTCCCTGCGCTGTATAACAAGTATCTTCTGGCAGATAGTTCAAAAGCAGTTTCCAAAGCTTCACGATGTATTACATTTAGTGGGCAAGAAATCCTTTAATCTGTGCAAAACACTTTCAAGTTTTTGTTTTAATTTGGCTTTCTGTACAATCTTAAAACCTGTCGCATATCCAGTTTTACAGAGTTTATAAGATTCCTCTTTCCACAACAATGCAACAATGATCCATAAAGTCTTTTGATTGTAGCTGTAAAATAATGAAGTAAAAGGATTTTTGTAATTGAAGAAATTGAAATGATATGATCCATGAAACTGAATGAAATTCTTTTGCTCATTATACATGCACAATACATATAATACGGGATTACAGTCGTAAGAAGACACAAAGTATTTATGCTTTAGTCAATTACAGTATTTCAGTGTTATGCTTTGTTTAGTATTCATTAGCAACACTACCCGCCTCTCTACTTTAAGCTTTGTTTATTTAAGGAACAGGAAGCATCGCTACATTTATACAAATCACTGAGGAGGGCTATAATTGAAAGCAGCCATATACATGCTGCATAACAATGAATTTGAAAGGGAGGCGTCTGTGTCCACTTTTAGTTCATTCCATCTTTCATAACGTCATTGTTGCATAGTTTGAAACGGGATCCAATTTTGGTCAAAATTGGAATATGTTATGCTGCAGTCACGCTAAGAAAAACAGTGATTGGAGACTAAAGCACAACCAAATCTTGCAGTCTTGTTGCCTTTGAAACGGCTGCTTTAAAGATGGGGATTGGGTCTGCGACCAGGCGACTTCAAAGCCACTTTGGTGATAAAATGACTATAAGATAGAGTCAGTCTGCTATCACTTTGTGACTGAATGGGGTCAAGCTGGGAAGTACATCTATTTATGGTCATACGGCAAAAACTGGAAATATGCTGCCATCTGCATTCACAGAAATTCACATTGAATAGAAATTTGAATTCGTTAGTTAACTTCAGAGTCTAGCCAGAACTTTATAGATTTAAAACAGAGATTTAGACCTTTCTCCATGAATGGTGACATAGTTGCTGCAGCACAATGATTTAACTGCAGAGTGACACAGGCGCTTTGAACCAGTACAACCAGAATACAACCAGCTGAGTCAAGGACCTTACTGCAAACAGACAGGTCACTGACGAGGTGCATCAATATTTTGCAGACAGGTTGCCTGGTGGGAGGCAACCTGTGCGATCACCTTGCAGTTGAAAGAGGTCTACAGGAGCCTTAAACCTTAAATTCCTAGTCACAAGGAGCTTGCTTTCCTGTTTTTACTCTGTGACTGAGACAATAATAACTTGACGACAGATTTCTAGATGACTTGCTTGTGTTTATTTGATTTCTCTCAGTAGTAATAAACGGCTTCTGAATGCTAGCTGTATTATCTTTTTCTATGTTTGTCTCTCTGACTGTAGTCATTATTCATCTCTTAGTATAATTATTTTGTATTCACATTGCTCGGTTTCCTAGTTTAACCTTCATGTGCCCTTCCTTGGTGTAGAGTAAAAAAAGAATAAAGGAAAAACAAGCCTAAAATGAGCAGCCTACAGCAGACAGTAAAACAATGCGTTTTCCTTTTTTAAACGGATAAAGCCAGACAGAAGCATAATTCATCTGAGCTAAAAAGGTGTCCCTTCAGGTGTCTAATGTAGCAAACAAAGAAGGCCTTAAATAATGTGAAAGGCAGTCTCTCTGTCTCATTTAGTTCTGTACAGAGAAGCCGCTCAGGTGGAGAAGTAAGTGGAGGAGAGAAATTTGATAAATGGGGGTCAAAATGGAAACAGCAATCTGGTTGTTCGTGCGACGTAAAAGAAGAAAGCGTCTGTTTTGTCTGAATTTTGAAGTGTATTATAACAGCTTGTTCACATATAAATCCATCTAACACTTTATGTTTGAGAGGAGTTCCTACTGTATATGGTTAATATATTTTTGGCAATATTATTGTATTAAAGATATCTATTGATTTATTTTTGAAGTTTTTATGACAAGCCATCACTCCCCTCTTCTATGTCATTATGGTGACTTCATCTTTTGCCCAAAGCCTGATTTATTAGTAGGATTATCCACTGCATGTTTGCTTGAGGTACTGTAAGATTGTTTCACTCATGTTGCCATCATCTGTATAAAAATTGGACCCAGCCCAACCAGATTACATACATTACTGTGCCAAACATGGCAGTTACAGTGGACTGTTTGCTATTCCTTCTTTATCATGCCTGGTTCTTCAAACATTTCCTGTCTCACCAGTGGTTGAAAAAAACTGTAGCTAATTTGCATGTTACAGTTAACACTTTATTTATTTATTTTTTGTCTAATTTAACAAGCTATATTTGTTGTTTATATCTCTTGTATTTTCTGATTAGCATGATTCCCTATTTTTATGTTAAAAGGGTTTTTATCGTACATGATTATTGTCATATGGTGGGTTGTGAAATGCTTTGTATTGGATTGCCTTAAATGAAAATTAATTAAAAAAATTGCTACTTTTACAAATTTTCTTTAAGTGTCATTCTTTGATTTTTTATTATTTTATTTTTTTTTATAAAGAAAAATATCCTGAAACAATGTAGTGGATTTGCTCTCAGGTTTCATAATACAGTTTATGATCAGTGTATTTTATTTTCTCTATGACCACATGAAGGATGGGTCACACAGTTAACGCTTTCTGGAGTCATTTGGACAAAAGTATTTTTTTGAAGTTATTTAACAACAAAAAAAGAATGTCGTACTCAAAAATATACATTGGTTAGTGCGTAATTACATCTTCCAACAAAGTTTAGTGTTCCTGTGAGCTTACAATTGATCCAGGGGCACGTTTGTGGAAGCCACCGTATTGCCACACCATCTTGAGTACATTTGTTGAGATGGACATCACCATTCTGCCTAATTACATTTTACATATATGGCTAGAAAGCAGCATAATACATAGTATGTGAGCAGGGAAAATTTAGGTGTTCAGGTGCAGTGGAGGCAAATTTTCAGTACACTCATTACAGATGAATGGTAGCCAGTTTTAGATCACTGTCCTTGGTGACTCGCCGCTTTGAGGTGAGTCAGAGGTAAAAATGTAGAGTACAGCAAAATATGTTCAATGTTGTTTTTCTGTTTTGTTTGGGTTTTTTTGAGAGGCAGGATTAATATTTTGTATGTCATGTGGCTGACTAAAACATGGTTGTCCTGTAGCTAGGATTATGCCCTTGAATAGGGAGTGCTAAAATCTACTATCTGCTACTTTTAGACACTGTCGTCCTACAGTGTGATTTTATTTATGTTTATTTGAGACCCTAAATAGCAATTTATGATCTAAATTACCATGGATTTTAGATATTATGTTTAACTTCATATAGGAAGATGTGAGACTATTTCTCTATTTATTTCTACTGACAATCAAAAAATTTGAGAAATACTGTGACTACAGGTCATTATGGTCTGTGCACAGTGTTTCTATATGCAGAAAAACATTAGATGCATAAACAGAGCTGCTCTCAACCATTATCACTAAATAGTATTAGAATTATTATTATTATTTTTTTT